GTTATTTGTGCTCTTTTTAATTCTATTTGTCTTCTCTAAGAACATTTTATCTGTGTGTTTTAAAAATTTTTAATAATTTATGCTTTTGTATTTTTTCCTTTTTCTAACATTCTTTGATTTATTTTGTTCTACTATTGTGTCTTAATAAGTTGGGAGCTTATTGTATTAAGTTTTTAGTTTTCTTCTAATATAAGCTGACTATATTGCTTACATATATTCTTAAAATTTTCACATACAGTATTTTCATTATTGCTTGACTCAAAATATTTCCTAATATTTATTAAGATTTCTTCTTTGACCAGTGAATTATTTAGAAGTCTGTTTCTTAATTTTTAAATTTTTCAGTTTTTTAAATCTAGATATTAGTTAACCAACTAGTTAGATAACTAGATACTTAATTTTATTGTGACCAGTATTTGTGGTCTGTATACCAAGTTTTTGAAATTTATTACAGCTTGCTTCATGTCAAGTGATAGCATGTTATCACTTGTCATAAAAATTCTTGGTGTTATTATAAAAAATGTGCATTCTTCACCAGTTGAGTGTAATGTTCTATGATCATTAGATCAGCGTGTTCATTTTGTTGTTTAAAGTTTCGTTTGCTTGCTGATATTTTTGCTTGCTTGACATGTCAATAACTGAGAGGTGTATTTTAACATCTTCCATTATGATGATGGACATTTCTTACTTTCTTACAGTTCTGTGAATTTTTGCATTAATAATTTTGAGGCTATGTTAATAAATATATCCAAGTTTAGAATTATTATATTTCTGATGAATTGTGCTTTTTGTCATTTTGTTGCAAAGTCCATCCATAATCCATAACTCTATGAGCTTTTTTTCATTAACATTTTGTCTTATATGGCTTTCCCATCCCTTTACTTTCCATCATTGATAATCATTTATGTTTTAGATATATTTTTTGTACATACCATGTTAAATTTCATTTGTTGATTCAACCTGACAGTCTTTTTTCTTTTATCTGGAATGTTTAGTCCATTTATGTTTATTTTTAAGTACTGATATAGTTTTAATTCTAACATCTTACATTCCATTTATTTCACCTTTCTTTCCTACTTTAGGGGTATTTATAATTTTTGTTTGTCTAAATTGTCTTTATTTTTTCCCTTGTTCTGTGAAGATATTTCGCTGGGTATGTAATTCTAACTTCATAGTTATTTTTTTGTCTATACACTGAAGTGCACATTGGCTTCTCCTGCTATGGAAAGAGGTGGTAGTCAGTCTAAACATTCTTCTTTCGAAGGTAATGTATATTTTCTCTTTGATGGCTGTTAAGATCTTCTCTTTGGTTTTGGTTGTATGTAGTTTTGGTGTTTATTTGTAGATTTATTTTTAGTCACCTTGCTTGAGATGCCTTGGAATTTCTAATCTGACAAGTAAAATCTTTCATAAATTCTGGGGAATTTTCAACCAGTATTTTTTTCAAATATTGCCCCTCTACCATTTTCTTTCTCCTCTCCTTAGGAACTCAGATTAGGTATCTATGAGACTGTCTCACGCTGCCCTCCATGTGTCTCAATCTCTCTTTGATATTTTCATCTTTTTGTCTATGTTATCCATTCAATTTTGTATTTACAGTAGTATATTTTTTCTTCTCTGGAAGTTTATTTAGTTCTTTTTCAATTCTACAAGCTCCTTTTTCATATTTTTAATTTCTTTTCTTATTTCCTTAAACAGATTAAACATAATTGTGCTTTTTGCTTAACAATTCTAGTGTCTGAAAATTCTTCGCAGATCTCTTTCTGCCTTTTTACCCCACCCACTCACACACTTTGCTGGTTCTTGTTCATGGTAACTTGATTTCTTATGCATTTTGTGATTTATTTATTTATTATGTGCACATCAACTTAGGAACATTCTGTCTGAGGAGGCTGGTTTGAAGGTATCTTCCTTCCAGAAAGGATTACTGGCCGGGCGTGGTGGCTCATTCCTGTAATCCTAACACTGGGAGGCAGAGACGGGCGGATGGATCGCTTGAGGTCAGGAATTAGAGACCAGCCTGGCCAACATGGTGAAACCCGTCTCTACTAAAAATACAAAAAAAAATTTGCCAGGGATGGTGGCAGCAGCCTGCAGTCCCAGCTACTTGGGAGGCTAAGGCATGAGAATCACTTGAGCCCAGAAGGTGGAGATTGCAGTCAGCTGGGATTGCATCACTGCACTCCAGCCTGGACAACAAAGCAAGACTCTGTCTCAAAAAAAAAAAAAAAGGCATTATTATAGTATTTGCTTTTCCTGGATGCCTGAGGCTACTAACCAGGAAATACTTAAACTAGTCTCAACTTGGAGATTTTTCAGACCACACAAGTAGTTTTAGCTGCACACCCCTCTGTGAGACAATTTGTGGTTATTAATTCTCAGGAGATATTTTTTCCTCTATTCTTCATGCAATCCTAAGTTAGACAATTTTCTTTGCTATCTCCAGCTAGGGGGTGGAGGTTATTTCTAACTTACCCTGTAAGCCTTTTAGGAATTCTCGCTTTATGCATCAGCTCTTCTGTTCCCCATCTTCGGTTGGCCCTAGGTTCTTTATCATTTGCCTTCTTCATAAGAGGTTTCGAAAACTCAGGAGTCTGGTTTGTTCAAAATCTTGAGAGTGAAAGTCAGCTTGTGTCCTCTGTTTACTCTTTTGGGGTTGCAGCTTTCACTCCGCCTCTGATGATTCTTTACTTTGTTGCTCACCCTGTGAAGTATTTTAAATAATGTTATTACGTTTCACAAATATTTTAATTTTGTTTCCATAGTAGTTTAAAGTATCTAAACCACCATACTATAGAAAATGGCATCATATAGCAAACTTTTATAAATTTGGCTTTGCTTTTTAATTTTGGTTGGTTTATAAAAAAATTTATTTTTTCTTCTTTTTTAGTATTTTAATGTTTTTCTGTGTTTGGGGTGAGGGTCATAGATACCAGTCCAATTTTAATATTCTGTGTTTAGTATAGACTGTTATGGAATGACTCGTGGTGCTTCTGTTGATATAACCAACAAATATTTGTTGAATGTCTACTTTATACCAGGTACTATTCTAGGAATGGGGTTATAGAAGTGAACATAATAGATAAAAATCCCTGCCGCCTCAAGAAACTTGGATTCTAGTATGGAAGACATGGGCATGTAGCACATTAGACAGTGATAACACTAAGGAGAAATAAAGCAGGGAAAGGGACCTTGCTTCTTTGGAGAGAATAGCTCCGGAATATGCAGAAAGGGTGACATTTTTAAAGAAGAGGATATGAGCGATGAGCACTCCAGAAAAAGGACCTAAATGCTTTACAAATGCCTAAGAGAATAAGGAATGAAAAGTTTTATACTATTGGAAGCATTGATGTTTATGCTTTCTTCTCTCTTAAATCTCAATTTTTCTTTTTCTACTTGTTTAGTTTTCCTGGCAGGAGAACTGACTTTATCATCTTGGGCAAGTTTCTTAATGTCGTTGAGTTAAAAATAAGACTACTGCCTATCTCTCAGGATAGACGGATGAAACAAGACATTTGTAAAATACCTGACATTTGATGGGTACTCAATACATGGTAGTTTTTCTTGTTTTCATTCTTCCTGTCTTATCTAGGCTATTTTCAGCACTTGTTTCAGTACCTGTTGGTAAATTTGCAATGATATGATTCTTTTTTTGTTTTTATTTTATTTTTGCAATGGTTTCTCTCTTGTTGCCCAGGCTGGAGTGCAATGGCACAATCTCACTGCAACGCCTGCCTCCCGGGTTCAGGCGATTCTTGTGCGTCACCCTTCCAAGTAGCTGGGATTACAGGCACCCGCCACCATGCCCAGCTAATTTTTGTATTTTTTTTAGTAGAGACGGCGTTTCGCCACGTTGGCAGGCTGGTCTTGAACTCCTGACCTCAGGTGATCCACCCGCCTCGGCTTTCCAAAGTGCTGGAATTACAGGTGTGAGCCACCGTGCCTGGCCATAATGATATGATTTTTATGCAGCACCGTGGAGACAGCGTGTGATAGGAAATTAACTAAAGACAAATTAGGAGAATTTGAAAGTTTCAAATTTGAAAGATTTTAAAAAACCTTTCTAAAGTAGTTTATAAAGTCTGATTTGGTTCTCAAGGCTAAGGAGATAAAACCGAGCTTTGTCCATTTTCCCCTTAAAGGTATTTTTCATTGTATTGCATGCAGGTTGGCAGCCTCAGCAAATCTCCATTTGTATACGTGACAGTCAGCAGAATCTCCAGTTACAGTCAACTCAAAGCAAGCAGGGGCATGCCACATACATGTTC